TCACCTATAAGTATGTAAAGAATGGGAGAGACCTAGTTAAATGTAAAGATGTTGGTTTATGTTGACTATAACAGTTGTGGCTGTACATTATTTTAGAAAACAAAATGAGAACCAAGATAAGGCTGGCAACTTTTTATTGGTTAATTAAGAATATAAATAACACAAACCCACAGCCAATATCAAAAGAAATTTACTACATACTAATACTATTATTTCATGAAGTATGGCCATTTTAACATTAAAAAAGCAGAAGTACAGATCTTAAAAACTAATGTGTTGCACTACAAAAGTGAGACTTGGAAAAAAACCATACATTTCTCTCTCTCTTCCTTTTTGCTTTGCTTAGAACTAGCAAAAACATTACTGTTGTTAAAGAATTGACACAATTTTAGACTGTAAATACAGGGTATGACTTAAAATAAGGAAAGGGATAGTTTTACTACACTCTGCATTTAGACCATAACTGCAGAATTAAATATGGAAACTAGATCAACAAAAAGAATATCACTAACAAAATTGATTGAATCCACTGATAGAGATGAGAAAGATAAAGAAACCTTAACAATATGAAGTTGTAAATGTTGTAAAATTTAATTTAGAAAATAGAAAATAGAAGAAACCCAAAATATTGGAAAAAACCTTCCTATACAGTAATCCTAAACTAAGAACTCCAACCAATGTGAAAAAGTTTTACAGTAAAGTAAATGCTAGCATTTATTGTTTTTTTTTGGAGAGGTTTTTGCTATAGGGCACGTGCGCTAGACAGAGACACAGAGAGACAGAAAGTGAGGAACCCCCCCCCGGGGGGGATAGCCAAGCCACAATCCCTTCTCCTCCATTCTCCTCTCCAGATCTTGGGAATGCACACACAAGCGCCCGGAGTTGAGTTTTAAGCCACCAGATTTGGGACGCGAACCGCGGTAGGCTACATGGAAGTTCAGCGACATAGCCATTACCCTAACTGCCGGTCCCAGTAAATGCTAGATTATTTTAAAGATCTTTCTGTTAAACTTTCTGAATGTTAAATAGGCTTTTCCATGCCCTTAGAAGGATTCATAGAGAAGGTGAATTCAGTAATCTCTCAGGGATACTAGTAATGGGTGGCATATCATATGAGATGACTTCTAAATTCTGTCTAATCCTAGTATTTTATGAATCCGAGTAAGGGAATAAATGTGGCCCTTTTAACCTACTAGGAAAGACGAGCAGAAAGAATTTCAGCTTAGTCAAAAAAGACGAATGTTCAGCTACAGGTTTTACTATTTAGTAATGTATGACATAAAGGCATAGTTATTCACTAACTCTATGCCTCAAATTTTTCAACATTAAATGTGTAAAATATCTTCATTTAGAAAACTACATAAATTAAGGACACATGCATATACACAAACTGCCTGACACTTAATAGGTGTTCAGTAAGTGGTAAATGTCATTCATTTACTCACACAGGGTAATATTTTCTATTTCATTCAGTAACTATTGATAAACTTATTCACTGTTAAGTCTCATTCATTATTTAAATCTAAGCAACATTTGGGGTTCTTTTCCACTTCTATGCTTTGTGCAATCTCTATTTGTATATAAGTAATTTCATATTTTCTTTAACCTTGCTTTTTTTGGTTTCTTTTCTACCTCTGACACAAAGTGGGCTTTTACTTGTTACATATCTGGCTATGTCATTCACTTCAGCTAAAAAGTTTTACGTTGGTGCACAATCATTTCAACAAAACTCGTTAATCAAACAACACCAGACAGATGTTTCTTACTCTTTTTATCACTCAGACCAGCTAACTGCTGAACATGTGTTCACCCTCATGAAATATTTGAGTAGATAAATCAAAACCCATCTCACCAAGTGTAGCTGATTATTAGAAATCTTGGATACTAGACAGTCATGGTGGTAGAGGAGTAACACAATGTTCCAATGACCGGACACGTGGAAGGGTCCTGGATTTGTACCCCAATATCACCTATACACCTGAGGTCTCCAACCTGACGGAGGCTGGGGATAGATCACAGCTCAAGGACCTGGTTGTGGTGCCTGTTCTAGTCAATCTCTTTCTCGTGGAAGAAATAAAATAAACAAAATTAAAGAAAAAAAAGGAATCTTGGTTAACAAAAGTTTAATGAAATAAGAGATAGGTCTAAGCTTTCTCCCCATTAAAAGTAAACCTATTTCTTACTGAAACTTTTACATTTAATGCTCCAGTGAATATTATCTACTTACCAAGCTTTTTCAGGCAGTATGTAATTCCTTTCTTTTTACAATTTGCAACTGTATATATATTTGAGTTGGCAATTAAGTACAATGCTAAGATAAAATTAGAACAGGGAACTGCAGCTTAACAACCCAATGTTAAAGATAGAGAAGAAAAAATATCACTACATATTAGTAATAGCTAAGTTTTCAAGAGTGGAATTTTGTTGAATAAAAAACATTGTTGACAGAAGCTTAAACATATATGGCACTAAGTATCAGATATGTGTGATCTGAGTACTAAGAGATGCAACAATGAAACCAGTTTTTTAGTAGATTAAAGGAAACAACAACAACAACAAAAAACCCTGATAAGTGTAACCAGTAAAACAAAGCAATCAGCAAGTTTTTATTTGCTATAGGGCAAGTGTGCTTAGGGAGAGACAGAAAGAGATAAATGGACTTGGGGCGGAGGGAGGAATGGCCATGTCACAATCCCTTCTCATCCTTTCTCCTCTCCGGATCTTGGGCATGCACACACACGTGTCCAGCGTAAGTTTAAGCCACCAGGTCTGGTACTTGAATCGTGGTTGACTACATGGGAGTCCAGCGACATGACATAGTCATTACCCTAACTGCTGGTCCCTCATGCACAGGAGTTTTAAGCAGCAGGGTCCAGGACCCTAACCTCAGTGGACTATGTGGAAATACCGAGACGAAACCATTACACCACCTGCTGGTTCCAAAAATTGTGCACGTTGAGAGAGACGTTGAGAGAGACACAGTGAGCTGGTCCCCCAAATCCTGCAAGTTGAAAGAGACAGAGACGAAAACAGACTAGATGCCAAAATCCTTCAGCCTCCAGTAGTTTTTGCCATAGGGAGCATGCCCACCATGCTTGAAATCAGCAAGAATTTTTGAAAGTACCTTACTTTTGGGGCCAGCAGGTGGTGTTGTGATTAAGGGTGCTCGACTCCCACACTGCTGTCCACGGTTTGAATCCTGGACTTGGTGACTTGTTTTTTCACTTTCTCTTTCTGTCCCTCTCTGGTCAAATTAAAAATAAGTAAATAAAGTAATTCTTAAAAAAGAAAAAATAGTACCTTACTATCTGCATTACAATGTAGAATGTATGCTAGCACTGTGTAAATTTCACTATCCTAAAACGAAGATAGGAAATACACAGATTATTTATTTCCCTACCAAACAATTTTGGAACAGCATGAACTTTACTAAGAAAATTAACATTTAAAGTTTGATAGAATATAATTCCATATACTAATTTAATTACAGATTTTTAAAAATTTTCAGATTGTTTGCTTAAATTGAAATAAATTCTAAAGAAAATGTCTGTTAAAATGCACTGTCGAATTAAAAGATTAAAATTATGAGGCAATAGGACAGGCCCCATAGCCTGGTGGTTAAGAGAGTAGGATCCCACATGGCTAACTGCACAATTCAAGTTCTAGACCCAGAGGCCTGAAAAACAAACCAGGCACACATGCGAGCATGTCAGAAATCCCAAAAGGATAAAGAAATGCAGGAGAAAGGATTGCGTTACCATACCCCATCTGGGTGGTGCTTTCTCCTTCACTCTCTCTGTATTGATGTGTTGCTCTGGCAAGCACACATGCCTCTGGCAAATTAAAAAAGGAAATACACACACACACACACACACACACACACACACCATTGCAAAAATCAATCCAATAAAATAAAGTTAGAATTTCTGAAAAGAAAAATCTAGTTTCTGTTGAAAATAGCTCATTAATCATGGAAAAAACTCTCACAGGCTTTGTTATGTGGAAATTTTATCTTTAACAATTATAGAATTGATCATGCTATTATGAAATACTACTGAATTTCAAGAAATAATATTAAAATATGACTTACTTATAGGGGAAAATATTCCAACAATTTCTTTTTATGGAAAACACATGTTAGGGCCTCTTTATTCTCATATGTTACTTTACAAAACTAAGGTTCCACTTCCCTAGACTTACTACTTTTACATCACAAAGACAAGCACGAAATTAACACAACTGTTGAGAAGCAAGTTCACTGACAAAGACAACTCAAAGAGCATTTATCTTCACAAATTTTCACAGAGTAGAAGGAATAAGGGACTCAGGAAAGATCATTCTGCAGGACAGAGCTTGGCTGGCTCTGCCTTGCTTTAGCAGTTTGGCCTAGGCAGACAAATCAGTTACTTTTCAGTTTTTGCCTATTGCTCTATCTCAGTCAAGTGCACTTAGATGCTTTACTTTTCAATCACTCAAATTCTATAGTATCTACAAAGTAAAGAAAACTAAAAACATCCTTCTTTTTTAAAAAAAAATGATGCCAGAAAAATACAAAACAGTTTATAACTTGGTATTCATCAATGTAGTACTTCCAGAGGTGAAGTCCTATCTTTGAAGCATACACAGGGGTATACCAGTGAGGATCTAGATACTGTATCCATAATGTAACTCTCTCCTCTCCCATTATTCCTCTGCTTGCTCCCTCCTCCCCATTCTGCTTCATTCTTCTGTAAGCAGAAATGCCAGCAAATGGCTGTTGTAAGCTTAAGGATCAAATAATTTAAAAGATGTATTTTCAGTCAAATGTATCATCTGCTTCACCAGCTTCCTCCCAAATTACTAAATTTCATTAAGAAAATAAAAATGAGTACACAACTTCAGAAACAGAAATATATTAGGCCTAATTTTCTTTTTTTTTGGGTTTGCTCTGATTGCTTAAAAAATAAAACAGAAAGATGGATCCTAATCTATTCTCTTAGGAATACAAATGCATTACCCACCCAGTTAAGAAAACAATTCTGTTGGTTCATTGCCCTGCTACACAACAGCTCCGGTGTCAGGCCCTTGCAAGTCCAGTCTTCCTTGTCATCTAGAAATTTTATATTGATCATCTTGCCAGTGCTTGTACTCCAGCAGGCATATAGGCTCTGTCTTCTTTATATTCTTCCAAATAAATAAAACTCTACTGAACACCACGAAACAGAGGTTTTGTGACTTAGCATACAAACCCTAGGTCTTCCCGCCCCTTGTTGGGCAGCTGCTAATATTTCTTTCCTTTGCACGAAACAGCAGGGAACCATACCAAACCTACAGTACATTTGAATCTTAGGACAATGAAGCCGACAGGAAGCCACTTTGTCCTCCCCCGGGTTTACTACGGATCCGGAGCCTACGCGGGGTGCAATCGCCTGGCAGGGTGCGTGACACCACGTCTTCCACGCCCTCCCAACGCTCCAAAGGCTCCTCGCCCGACCTCCCCCAACCGCCTCACACCCCTAAAACCAGCCACACAAAAGGGGTCGGCACTGGCAGCAGTTCCGACTGGGGAAGAATCCCTTCGACAGCGGCAACGCAGCCATTGCCTCCAACGCTCCGCCCGCACCCCTTGCAAAGCGCTACGGCGGAGGGGGGAGAACGGCACAAAGCCGGGAAGGAGCAGAAAATGATTCAATGCACTTAAGGGAAGCGGAGGCGGCGACTACGGGCCGGGAGAGCCGGGGATCGGCGGACTGGAGGGACGGAGAGGCAGAGCGGGGGGGTGGCGGGTGGGGG